GGGTGCTTGAATGCCAAAATGATGTCATTGATATATTTTTTAGCAGTAGTTTTTATAACACAGTTGATAATGCATGACAATCGAATGTTTTCACAGCCTGGTTTTCATAGATGGAAATTTACTTCGGACGATCTGTCATTCATCACCAAGATCGGATAATATTCTAGAATGCTGAAATTTTCAGCGATCAATAGAGGACTACAATCCCTGAAAATTTCAGCTCATTTGCACTTATAGTTCCTGAGATAAAATCGTGTTGAGCAATTTGGGGTGATTTATCAATATTTCTGAGTGCCTTTTTTCATAGAATCCGGCTCCAAATCTCGGAATAATTTAGTGTATAAAGTTCAAGGGATCCTAAAGGACCATTAGGACACAAAATTTCAACCATTTTTTTTTTTGAAATTTCATTGTTATAGTAAGAAGGTTAACCCTGATGATAGGCTAAACCTTATGATTTAGATTTTGGAAAACTTTGAAAGGTCATAACTTTTTTTCTATTAGAGATAGAAAGCTGAAATTTTCAGCGATTCTTATCCCAGCGGAGGACTAGAATCCCTGAAAGTTTCAGTCAATTTGGACTTATAGTTCTAGAAATAAAATCGTGTTAAGCAATATGGGGTGATTTATCAATTTTTCAATTTTTCTGAGTGCCTTTTCTCATAGATTTCGGCTTCAAATCTGAGAATAATTTAGTGTATCGAGTTTGAGGGATCCCAAGTGACCATTAGGACACAAAATCTCAACAAAAAAAAAAATTGAAATTTCATCGTTATTATAGTAAGAAGTTACCTACCTTATGATTTAGATTTTGGAAAACTTTGAAAGATCATAACTTTTTTTCTATTAGAGATAGAAAGCTGAGATTTTCATCGATTCTTATCCTAGTAGACGACTACAATACTTGAAAATTTCAGCTCATTTGGACTTATAGCTCCAGAAATAAAATCGCGTTAAGCAATTTGGGGTAAATTTATCAATTTTTCAATTTTTCTGAGTGCCTTTTTCCATACATTCCGGCTCCAAATCTCAGAATAATGTAGTGTATATAGTTTGGGAGATCCCAAGTGACTATTAGGACACAAAACCTCAACAAAAAAAAACTTGATATTTCATCATTTTGGTAAGAAGGTGAGTGAACCTTATGATTTAGATTTTGGAAAACTTTGAAAGGTCATAAGTTTTTTTCTATTAAAGATATAAAGCTTAGATTTTCAGCGATTCTTATCCCAGTAGAGGAGTACAATCCCTGAAAATATCAGCTCATTTGGAGAAATAGAAAGCTGATACAGGAATCAATAACTTTACTTTTTTCAGTTGTTATTTCTCTAGATGTCCTTTTATTCTGCGTTTAATTGAAAAAGCGATTACTTCTGATTTTTGAATGAATATATTTTTTTAAATGGTAATAAGGACTAAAAGCGTCTCCACTAATGCGAGAAGAAGAACATTCTCGAAGGTGACACAATGGAACAACGTAGCAAATTTTCTCAACTTAACCATTTTAGAAACTTGGTTTAATCTTCGTACAATAATAGGCCATTCGTCACACATACACTCTGTCAAACGACAATAAATCACCCCTCCATCTCTTTACATTCACTGTTTATTTCTTGCAAAGCACACATCAAATTATAACTCATGCAAAATCCATCATCCCGAATCTGTCGGGCGAGGAGCAGTTATGCTGACGCAGATGGCGCCACTACCACCCCCACCAACCCCCATCTGGATAACTGAAAAGGGTTCCCGAGGGAACATCACATCATTAAAATGACTGACGGAAAACATATTAAGGCGATGTTTAAAATCGCGTGTCATTTGCAAAGGAACATTGGCGTGGAAATTAAGATTTTTTTTGTTTTGTTTGAAGATTCATCAAGCTGATGTTGTCTAATTAGAATTAGGGACAGTTAATAATAATTGTAGAAAATAAGAAGACAGTTCTAAATGCAAAACTTTCTAGAAGAGTTCAATTTATTCCTAAGTGAATTTACTTGGAGAGTGAAGTAAAGTGATATATTTATTAGACCCAAAACTGTCGATGCAGAATCTGACTTACCAACTTAATATATGTATATTGTTAATGTTGTCTTCTTTTATGTTGGTTACTAACAATTCATTTATTTTTGAAATTGTTAGTTTGAGAAGATCTTTGAATCCTCAACTTTAAATTCGAAAAACAACATGTTGTTCCTTCTTATCTTTCTCTCTATGAAAATATTTCTTTGTTCAATCAAACAATTTTTCTGTTGGTCTTTCTTAAATGTCTAAAGACATTTTGCTTCACTTTGCTCGATTTTCTTGGTCAGTTGCGCGGTCTGTTTCTTGTTATCAGCCGAAAGAAGTTTGTATATTTCATTAAATGTCGTAGGCTCCCCCATTTGAAAGTTACCTAACTATGTTTTCTGGCTAATTGTGCAGGATAATTTCGACTGAGATCTGGTGGCGTATTAAATACTTATTTTGAACAATATGTTTTATCGACGCACAGTCTGCTGTAGCAGGAGTGGGTACCCCGTGAGAGATGCTTAACCATCATGTATGAATTTGATCCCTATTGCATGCACAATTTTGTTTTTGGATGGCAGGATGTAAGTGGATATTTTGTGGTAGTTTTAATATATTTGACATACCTCTTTGACTAACTGTGTAGCCCAATCCATGAGAAATCTGCTGATACCACTCTCAAGTTTAAAACTTTTTGCAAACTATTGGAAAATTGCTACTAAAACAGAACGATTTTATGCACCTTGGTTGAAAGATAAACAACTTGTTCTATATATTCGATCAACATTCTACATATCTTGATATCATTATTATCTCCATATCTTTCCTCTATTTTTGTCTCAATTTCGTCGTCAATAATAGGGACATAAGAATTTATTATTTTGTCCTTGCAGTGTTCAAAAATCTATCAATAATGAACAAATCCAATCAGGAACGTGATCGAAATTAATGTTATCGACTGATATAGGTATATTTACAACACACTTAATAAGCGTGGCAAAGTTGCAGAAAGCTGACATAGAATAATGGCAGTAGCTTTGAAAATCTTAACTTCAGGAAAATACTTTCGCAATTTAGACGTTGGAGAAATTTTAAAATCAACCCTATTACATTTCGCTATAGAAATAGAATTTAATTAATCCATCGATTGAATAGGAAATTCTTGAAAATCATAAATGTCGGGACTAATTACCGGCTTTATCGTAAAACAATTTAGCATCGATCTTTAAATTCCAAGTTTTAAAATGCCTGCAAAAATACATAAAGTTTGCAATTATTCAGTTCAGGTAACTTTATTTTTTCGGTTGTTTACAGAATAGGTAACTTCAACCCAACAAACTTGATTCATAAATTCAGCTCAAATAACTTCCAATGTATTTTTATGCATTATTTTATTTTACAACAATGTTCAAAATCCCAAAAAAGAAAATTCCGTGCAGTTCGCTTATACCGTTTTGCTTTCGTGCAACCTATTTGAGAAAATTAAACAAGACTCCTGGCTCATGTATTATTCATTCTTCGAGCTCTTCGCAAGTTGCTGAACTATCGTAGTAATCAATACGAATGTAAAATATTAACTTTACAACTCGCGGTCGTTTCAGAAAACGACTTATTGTTTTGTTTAAATCATAACCGAATAAAATTGCTTGTTGTCGCGTTTCTTCAATAACGAGAAATTACACGCAGGAAGTGATTATGGTTATTGAGTTGTGAATTTTTTTTTATTACAATTATTATTATTTCATTGTAGCATTCAATTAAGTTAAAGATTTTTCTTTTATCTTCAAACTCCTTTAATTAAGATTTTTTCAACACGTTATAGTACTTAAAAACTTTTATCGTTAACACTTATAAGCACCTGTTTACGCTAACAGCACCGCGAGTTTAAGAAAATATATTATGCCGTATCTTTCAAAACATCCATTACAGGATTACCTACGTCTGATATATAGGAAGAAAAATATAAAAAGAACGTCTGGAAATGCGATCCAGATAATTTATCGCCCCTCTTATTAACGCAGTAACTATGGTCGACAGAATTAGACCTGATACAGACCAGAGACGCGATATCATTTAACTTAGATGACAAGTCTGGAGGGTTTTTCCTTTTAATCCCTTTCTACCTTCTGGTGCTGAAATAGGATAAAGGGATTTTGGTAATGACGGTGATGCTCGTTACATCTTGATCGGATATTTTAGATGTTTTCAAACTACTACCTACCAAACTTTGTTTTAGCCAGTACTGAAGTTTTCCATCAATATAGATTGTTTTCATTATTAAATTAAAAACTGAAACTAATTTGAAAGTTTAGATTGAGTAATATATATAGCATTGAAATGCTTAATTGAATTTGCATGCACAGTCTGTTTTCATTTTGGTTTCCATTTATATTTAAAATTCGATTAAAATATACCCGGTGAGAGCTTCGTTTTGAAAGCTTAAGTTAAGGTTTCTGGATGGGTTTTTCAATTTTTTTAGTTTTTTATTAGAACTTATTCAGGGATTTAGTGTTTCTATTTAGTTTTTAATTAAAATTTTAATTGGGTTAAAAACGAATCTAAAATTACTATAAATTAAGGATTTGTTTTTAGTTTCGAGGCAGAATAATAATTATTATCTACTGTTTTAAATATTTTCATTTTAGCTTAATTTAAATTGTATAATGAAATATTTGGATTTAATATTTTATTTAGTTTAGAAAATAATTTGGGAATTATTCTAGTCGCTGAAATTACCATTATTGTTAGAAAACTGGTGATTATTATCATTGATTTATTATTCATTTGAAGGTATAGGTACTAGCAATAATAATTATTCTAATGAGGCAAGATATAACCACTATCGCCATTTAAACTTTATTTTATGTGCGGTGCCAAACCACCCTATTAAAGTTTAAAACAATAAAATTTGGAATGCTGCATAGGTTTCAACGTAGGTATGTTCTCTTTTTGTTGTATGTATTGGTGAAGAACATTTATCATTCACTTACCAAATGATGTTTGAGCGCCAAAGGAAATACCACTCAACATCATAACGAATTCACCAACTTTCGCCAAAATTACATTGTTCGAATCGTTCCTGTTGTCGTCTCTATGATATTGTTATAAACCCGCCACTCGTACTTTTTGATTGTCCACTGTAACTATAGTTAAAGAAGCCAGAAAATTCGACTATTTTCAAGATGAACTAAATCACGAAAATTCGAGCGTGTTAGAGAAGGACGCACATAACTATAAAAGCCTCGGTGCGCACCGCGTAAAGATCAGTTATGATTGACGTACGACAAGTGCAGTAAACTGTAAAGTCAGGAACTAAATAAACACGTTCGGAAATTATCGTGCCGTATAAGATTTATTTGGAGTAGTTTGGAGTGTAAAGTAGTGTTAAATTTCGTGTGATTTTTATGTTATTGTGTTTATTAAAATTCGTTAAGAGGGGCGTCAGATAAGAGCCAGCACGCCATCTTTTGGGCTTTATGACATACATTAAATATTTTTTAATCACAGGTGTTCAAATTCTCTGTAAGTGATTGACTAATTTACAAGTAGATGGCGACATCTTCAATATCAATTCGTTTACACAGTAATTTACAGTGGACTAAATAATTTTATTCAGATACAAATTAAATAATAGTATTTCACATTATTAGCTAGGTTAAACAGTTTTTACTGGCGTTTGGAAGAAGTTATTATGCTTCCCGAACTCAGCGACATCTTTTAGAGAAGCGCTGAACAAACGTTTGGTTTGAGTCTTTGCTGAAAATGACAGCAATCACCTCGTTGTTTGACAAATTTTGAGTAATTTTGTGATACAAAAATTATAATTTTCGAAAATTCTGTTCTATTCATTTTTTCCAGCATTTTATTATCCGAAATTTTGGACATTCATTGTTGGTGTGCTACTCTATATGTTTATCCCTTTTTCATTTAAATCAGTGACCAAAATTTGCATATTGTTGTCAACAAAATGGTAATAATTTTACTATTTAGAATGGGTATTTTGCAACCAAAAATGCTTGAACTTCTACTCCAATATATTATTGTTATGAACATAGCTTCATTTCACTGAAAAGTGGTCTAAATTTGGAATTGAACAGGAATTAGTGAAGGTCTGTAAATGACATTTTATTTAAACGCCCCTCTTAAAGTTCGAAAAAGTAGTCTCTCTATCTGCGAACCCGTGAAAGTAACAATTGGTGTCAGAAGTGGGATAAGTGAGTGAAGAAATTTGCATTTATGGTAAATACGAGAAAACAGACTATCGAAATGGCAGAACAGCTAAACCAGGTACCCGCTTTGTTGACACTTGCGGACGAGAAGAGAGCAAAAGAAAAACAAGAAGAACAGGACCGACTCTGTAATGATGTTGAAAAATAAACCACTGCTAGAAATAGCTAAGGGAGATTTGATAAATGTTTTTAAAGAGACCACCGTGACATTGGACATTGGGAATAGGCAGCACCGAACTTGAAGTAGAAGTGATAGTTGAGAGCGGGCAACGAAGAAATACTCTTCTCATCACCGTCAAATAAGGATTGTCAAATTAGAATAATCGCTGATGAAGATACACGAATTCCTGGGAATAGTGAGTCGAATGTACGGGCACACCTACAAAAACAGCTAGAAGGCGTGAACACCATTAACACCAACAGAAAACATGCAGAATGGAACACTTGTGGCATATTGCTTAGTGAATTCCAACAATGTTTTTTCCAGTGAGAGTGACCAATCTAACAACAAACCGTGTGACATTGAAGAAAGGAGACGTCATTGGCAGATGTACACCAGCTATACGAGTAGTCAGATGCGCAAAGAAGGAGCATGTGTCAAATGAAGCACATTCATCAATAGAGCTTCTGGAGAAGTTTGAAAAGTGCTGGAATCACTTAGGCCAGCAAGAAAAGATGAAAGCTATTGACTTTGTGCAGAACAAGGCTGGTGTTTTTGTGCAAGATAAAATTACTGGAAGAACTAATTTGGTAGATCATCGCATCAACACAGGAAGTGCTACACCCATTCACCAACCACCACGAAGACTCCCTTTCGCAAAGCAACAGCAAGTTAACATTATGCTTAAGGAAATGCTGAAGGACAACATCATAGAAGAATCTAATAGTCCATGGTCATCGCCGGTCATACTAGTTACGAAAAAGGATGGTTCTACCAGGTTTTGTGTGGATTATAGAAGGTTGAATGACGTTACGAAGAAAGACAGCTATCCATTACCCGGGATTGACGAAACCCTATCAGGATCCAAGTGGTTTTCAACCCTGGACTTGAAAAGTAGATATCGGCAGGTGGAACTCAATAAAGAGGATAAAGAGAAGATCGCATTTACTGCAGCAAACGGCCTATATCAATTTAGCGTCATGCCGTTTGGATTATGCAATGCACCTGCCACTTTTGGAAGACTGATAGAGTTAGTTTTGCGAGGACTGACTTGGGAAACGTACATGGTATATTTGGATGATGTTATGGTGATTGGCAAAGATTTCGACGAACACCTGTCGAATTAGAAGGAAGTTTTTGCCAGGATTCGAAGTGCCAATCTGCAACTAAATCCTAAGAAGTGTGTCCTATTCCAGGAACAAGTAAACTTCCTCGGCAATGTCGTCTCATCAAAAGGAATCTGTCTCCAGATAAAGTCCAAGCTGTGCGAGATTGGCCCAGACCAAAGAATAAACATGAAGTTAGAAGCTTTCTGGGACTCTGCAGTCACTACCGCCGGTTTGTCAAGGATTTTGGAAAGATTGCGAAGCCTTTACATGAACTAACTGAAAAGAAAGCTCGTTTTGATTGGATACCTGAATGTCAACGGTCTTTCGTGGAGCTGAAAAATAAATTGACTAGTGCTCCAGTTCTGGCGTATCCCAGGGGTGAAGGTGTATTTGTTACACACCGATGCTTCGCAAAGTGGAATAGGGGCTGCTCTTTCCCAAATTCAAAACGCCGAAGAAGTAGTAATTGATGAATACTTCAGTAAGTCCATTGGAAAGGCAGAGAAGAATTATTGTGTCACCCGAAAGGAGCTTCTGGCAGTAGAAAGATCTATTGAACATTGCCACAGCTTTCTCTATGACCGGAAGTTCCTAGTTAGAACCGACCCTTCTACATTGCAATGGCTGCTCAATTTTAAAAATCCGGAGGGTCAAATAATACCATACCATAAAGACCCGATAACTTTACCTATAATGCCCCCTATTACAATTATTAATAAAGTTAATAATTTTATATACACAGGTAAAATAATAAAATAAGGAACTGGTTAGAGAAATTACAAAGTGACCATGTATTGACAGCTCATGCATATTCTGCCAAAGGCAAGAGGAAAAGGAGGCAACCAAAAATTCTGGAGTCGTTCAACAAATAAGGCTTAAAAATTCCGACAACGACGCTAATACTGATGAGGACATTACGAGACAAGACTTCGAAGAACAATAAAATATGGATAAGAAATTGAAAATAGTGCGTGGCTGGCTACAAGACAAACAACGACCTGGATGGCAAGAAATTTCCAGTTTGAGTCAAACGGTGAAGGGATACTGGCTGCAATGGGACTCGTTGTGCCTGCGAGATGACTTGATCACTCGTAAATGGGAGAGTCCAGATGGAAAAAAACCTAGTATATCAGACCGTTGTGCCACGGATCATGGTGGACAGAGGGAGTGACACTTTGGAGTCAATAAAACCTTGGCTCGAGTAAGAGATAGGTACTATAGGATCAACTGTCGTAGGGATGTTGAAGAGTGGTGCAAGAGATGCGATCTCTGTGCTTCTAAGAAAGGACCCAAGACGCGATCCCGTGGAAAAATGAAGTACTACTTTGTCCGTTTTCCCTTGGGAGAGAATGGCCGTGGATATTGCAGGTCCTTTTCCTACGACGGAGTCAGGGAATAAGTACCTCATGGTTGCTATGGACTATTTTTCGAAGTGGCCAGAAGTAGTTCCCATACCCAATCAGGAAGCAGTTACTGTTGCGGAATCATTGCTGGAAAACGTCATATCCAGACATGGGATACCTATGGATGAAGTTCTAGGAAAGCAATTTTGAGTCCGAGGTATAGAAACAACTGATGAGGTTACTGGGAGTAAGAAAAACGAGGACGACTGCACTTCACCCACAGTCGGACGGAATGGTCGAGAGGCACAATCGGACCATCAATCAATACTCTCGATGTTTGTAGATGATCACCAGCGAGACTAGGATAAACTAATGCCTCTTTTCCTTCTGGCTCATAGAAGCGCTCAGCATGAGTCCACTGGCTATACACCATCTATGCTGTTGACTGGAAGAGAAATGAGGATTCCAGTAGATTTAATGTTTGGCAGGCCTCCAGTCGATGAAGACGAGGCTGTACTTCCAGTTTACGTGGCTGATCTCCAGGACAGACTTAGAGTGCTACGTCTAACCAGTGACAGAATCAAGATGAGACTCGACCGACGGCAGTCACTGAACACCTTTAATAAAGGCGATGCTGTCTGGTTGTATCAGCCACAGCGAAGAAAGGGACTTAGTCCGAAACTAAAACGACCATGGGAAGGACCATACAAGGTCATTAGGAAAATCAACGACTTGGCATACAGGATACAACTTACACTCAAAGCCAAGCCCAAGGTCGTTCACATGGAGACGCTGGCTCCATACAAGGGCAAGAGCGCACCGTCTTGGATGCGATTGGGATAAGCTGTTCGGGGCGAACAGCTTGGAGGAAGGGGGCAGTGTTATAAACGCGCCACTCGTACTTTTTGATTGCCACCTGTAACTACAGTTAGTGAAGCCAGAAAATTCGACTATTTTCAAGATGAAGTGAATCACGAAAATTCGAGCGTGTTAGAGAAGGATCCACATAACTATAAAAGCCCCGGTGCACATCGCGTAAAGATTCCTTCACCAGAAAAATCTAGACTTTTCTAAAAACAGAAATTGTCTGCAATCTTGAATCTTGTAGGTTTCAGTTTTTGTATTGAGGAGCTCAGGTATTCTGTCGTGTCTGTATTATAGAATATATTAGAATTCTCAGACGTAAACAACGAATTTCCTAGAATCCTGGCCAGCTTATCGATGCATTTTCGTAACAGTATTATTGTCATGCATTAATTTTTCATTGCATTTCCAATGTAGCAACTATATTACATCAATTAAATAAATCATGCCCAAAGCCGAAAATAAAATACGCGATTATTAAAAAAATATCCTTCCGATACGGAGACCGCAAATTTATGTTGGTCGCCAGCATCGCAAGCCGATGGACCATAAACAATATGGCTGCGGTCTTTATTGCAAATCACCTTGTGCAAGTTTCTCTCATATATGCAAGCCCGAAGAAGAAGAAAGAAGAAGACAACGGAAAGGCAACGGCCATGTATTTCTTAGAACAATAGAACGTGTACCTGTTGTACAAATAGAAACTGTCCTCCTGCGTAGGTAATAGTTGTTTGGTCGTAAGGTTTCGAGTGGTTGTCAAATTTGCTTTATAGCTTCAAGATTTTAATGCGACATCTGAAGGAGCTTGGTATTTGGTTGTTTGCATAAATGATCGACGGCTGAAATAATATTTCATGCCGATGGTATGTGGCAAATGGTTGATTGTGAAAAGATTACGTAATAATTTCACCTGCTGCAAACTGAAAAAACACAAATCCAATATACCCAAAATTTTAATCAAACCCGTTTACCGTCCGGCCAGTTTTAATCTCGGCGCTTTTGTCAAGATAAAATAAATCCGCTTCCGATGTTGTACGTTGTACTCCCTAATTAACTCTAGTTTTTGTGGGAGTTCCTATAGAGAGCGCAACAACTTTAATATCAACGGCGGAGTTAGAGAGTCCAAAGTTTGTTTGACTCCGTTCCCGACAACGACCATACTAATTTCGTCCAACTAATTAATGGCGTTGTATTAATTAAACCCAGCAACAATTTGAAGTTGTAACAGAGAGAAAACGTGGCATATGTATTTTAATAATGGAAATGCGGGACAAAATTTGACAGAAGTGTGAATTTTGTAGGTATGCGTTATACCACCCATATTAATTTATATATTTTGAATCGCAAGCTGAAAAGATGTTAGCTTCTCAGCAGAGTTAGGTAAGTGATCTCCTTTTTTGCATAAAGCTATTATTTCAATTATCTGAGATTTGTATCTATTATTTAAAGTTACAACAGTTGTTATAATCGTTCTTCTTTGACATCAGGATTAAAGATGAGAACTCGACTATCTACACCAAAAGAATAGAAAAGCTAGGTGCTCATCTCTGTAGTAGATTGGTTCTCTCCTATTTTAGAAGTATTATCTACAATCTATCAGTGTATTATACTGATTTTCTTGTATCATATCATTTATTTGTATGAGGTTAGATACAAGACTATAAAACATCAAATTTTATCATCAAAGCCAGTATTTATATTGTATATAAGGCTCCAAGCTGTATATATTTCGCTGCTTCCGCCTTGAATATTATCCGTCGCTGTTTATCCTTAGTGCTTTGGGCAAACTAATTAATTAGAAGCCTAGCAGCAGCGAATGTGGTATACGAAACAGTTTAGCTTCAGCCAGAGAACCATATTGCTGGGAGTCTTGTTAATGAAAATCGGATTATTGCGTTCGTATTATCATTACATATTATTATTATTATTATTGGTATCCAAGGCTGTATTGGAACATATTGGCAACCGAATATGTTTGGTCGACATTTTGTTACTCGTTAAAACTATCTGTATCGAATTCCAATAATTAGCAAAGTTAAGACCTACAGCACCGGAGAATATGTTAACTTTATGTAATTACATTTCCGAGACTTGGAAATACTAAGCTTAGTTTCCAAATAAGATCATAGTTTTCATCATTCTGCTCATACAACCATATCCTATACCATGTGGGCTTATTTTCTTAACTATACAAAAAGTAATTACTACAGATTATCTTGAAAAACGGAATTCTCCTTAGAGGTTTAACAAGAAAAACGTATCTGTCCCAAATGCAACCTAATGTGCAAAATCGAAATTGGATACCTACATCAAGAATCGATTTCGTTTCTTGCGCGTCTGACGGAAGCAAAGGTAGATTTGATTCGACGAAAAAAGGTCCCAATACGACAATAAAACCCAAAGGGGTGAAAAGGATAATGGGCCACTGAAAGTTTCGTTCGTTATATTGTGTCCCGGGTTTCCAGGAGGAGGCATCAAACTTTCGGGATTCTGAGTAAAATGAACGATTATATTGAACGCAATCTCAGATAAAATTACTCCCAAATGGCGAATTATCCAACTTCCGGCGGCAATGGGGCACGAACTTTATTTGCTAATAAATTCATAAATCTATTGTGGGGAGGGGACGATTTACATAAATTAATTTCGCTCGGGATTATAACCCTCCACATGGCACTAGAAGATAAATATTCGCGGGCTGTCTAAACGCTACTTGGATTACTGAAGTTATAATGATTTTAAAACAGTTATATGTATTTTGGGATTTGGGCGGATTTATATTTTAAGCCATCCATACCTTTCAGGAATAAATAACTTGCGAACAATTTTGAAAGCAACTAATTTAAGCCACAATTTTAGTCTTGAAAAAAGACCACTTCTGTGAAATCAAAATGATGCATACAGCGTGCGTAATGGTAAAGTAAATCGCATGGAAATAAACAAATCAAAAACCGACGTCAGTCTCAGAAAAATATAAAAGAAGATTGTCTAGGAAACCATAGGAAAGTTAAGAAATTCATTGAACAATGAAAACATTCCCCAGTAATGACGTATAGAGCTCAAACATGGACATAATTACCAGAAGATTACTT